CCTGGGGCAGATGTCAATGTGGTAGGATCATTCTTGCCCTGGAAACAGGCAGATGGGAGCTGGTTATGTCTCAGATTTGTTCCCAAATTTTTAGTCAGCACAAGCTGAACACAAGCTGGGTAGTGCAGGAAAACAGAGTAACTTTTGGGATGCATTGCAAATGGATCCCTTCAATGAGCATAAGGGGAGCAAGAACACTGACTCAGCTAACTGACTGTCTTGGAAATGCAATTGGAGTCAGGGTCTGGTTATCCAGGTGTAGCTGAAGAACCTCAGAAAAATGAACACTGCTAGATGGAAAATTAAATATTTCCTCAGTAGGAAGCAATTTCAAGTCAAATGAGGTTATGTTGGCTTCTACTGCATCGTAGCCAGGATGCAGGAACCTCTGTCTCCCAATTTGGTCTATTCACAACCAGTTTGATTAGTCACAAATTAATGATTTAGGCACATTACACAACAATTTTTAAAAATCAACAAAATTCCTGTTAACTTCAACAAGACTTCAGTTGAGATATTTAATGTATTAATTAAAACTTAGGTTGGCCAAAAAAAAATCTTCAATAGAACATCTCTGTCCCCATCGGTTTCAAGTGGTTTATTTTTTACCTGAGTTTTGGTATCTTTTCTATGCCATCTGCAACCTTTTTTCTGTAAGTTAGTGTACTTTTGTATCTTCCATTCAGTCCTATTTTTTCCTCAAAGTAATAATTTAATTCAATCTTATCTTCTATACATTTGTTGGTTGTTAAATCCACAAGAGGTTGGGAGGTCTAATTTTGCTACCTTTTTAAGGGACACAGGTAATGTCTCTGCAGTTTTGAAATCTGGCTTGGCTGTTTGTGGTTATATTACACTGCATTTCATTCTAAAAGCAACAGTGTGAACTGAGATTAGATTTAAACTGAGTCTTTCCAAACATCATGAGAATTCTTCTGTCAAATAAAACTTTCATCTTAATTATTCTTAATAATTTCCACTTTGCAAACATAAGGTCCCTTAATGCCTTTGGAAAATGAAGATTATGAGAAAGACACTATAAAAAGATAAATGTCTCATTTTGCAGAATTTTAAATACCTTCTTTCAGATAGTAAATCTAACGTTAATTAATACTAGGGTATAATATTAGATTTCTCTCTTTTATGAAAATCCTGGGTAGAATGTTCCCTAGTGTAGTATTTTCTGTGTTATTTTATATATTGGTTCAAATTTAAAGCCAAGAATATTGATGAAAAATGTCAAGTAACTTATTCAATAGTCAAACAAAGAACTACTGTCACAATTTAATTAATTTTCATTATTTAATTATAGGCTGTGTAATTATAAATTAATTTTTAGTTTCAGTCCTTCTGAAATCCTGCTCACCACAGTTCTGAACACACGCATGTAGTTTGAGTATTTGAGCTGGACAGAAATTCCCCAGTTTCTTTAATTTATGACAGCCTCAGTGTGTGTCTGTGTATGCACAAGTCTGTGTATGCAAATGCACAGAGTGCTAATTCAAACACATCAATACCTTTCTTAAGTAATTGTGGCAGCTGCATACCAAGCTAAGCACTGTATTCTAAGATAAACTAATATTATTTTTCCTGCAATACACAATTCAATATGCTAGTTTGTCTGAAACTATGATATCTCTACAAAAAAATGCAGGCAACATTTTTGTTTTGTAACTGTTGCTACTTCCTGTTGTAAGTGCAGAAGGATGCTCTTGGAAAGGAACATGCAGTGGGCTGTGTACAGAAAGGAGAACATGGGCCAACATCCAGACAATAGCAACACAGCAGCTGTACTTCCATGTGGGAAAACCATCACCCACACAATAGTCAACATTTTTTCCTAACACTCATTACATTTATAAAGCCAAACCAGCCCCCATTACAAAATAAACATATTTAAAATTAAGATATTTTTAATATTAGGGATTAGGAAGGATCAAAACCCACCATAAAGACAGGAAAATGAAACTCTCCTTCCTTCCTTTCTGAGTGCTTTTGTGATTAATCTGAAATAAGAGGTTTTTATCAGGGCAATCTTTAGGACATGTTGTTGAAGTTTTCTGTAGCTGTAGCATGGCCTAAAATTAGCTAAGTTGATGTGCATTTTTTACTTCTCCCCACCAAAAAAAAAGAGAGAAACAACCAAAAAAAAAAAACAACCAAACAAAACTAAACAACAAAAAAAAAAAAAAAAAAAAAAAAAACAAAAAACAAAAAAACACACACAAAAAACCAAAACTCCAGAAACAAACAAACAAACTACTCCCTCCACAGACATAAGGCAAAAAATAGATAGGGCAAAATAAAGTTCTTTACAAATGGTAATGAAGATTAATGATTTGTCTCACTGTAAAATTATTTCCTACCAAAAAATGACAATAGATAATTTCCTATATTTATATCCTTTATATAAAAAGCTTTTGCAAGTCATATGGCACTTGGGCATCCTTGAATTCCAGAAAGGATGAGTTTGGAATGATCCTCTGGAGCTTGTCTGGTCCAATCCCCCTGCTCAGGGAGGAGTCCTGCAGCAGACTGCTCAGGACCACATCCAGCTGTGGTTTCAATATCTCCAAAGATGGAGAGACTCTAACATCTTTCAGACCAACCTGTTCACTGTTTGGTCTCCTTCACAAGACCTCAGGCTTCGTGACCTGTCTATACAGGCTACTGTGTATTAGCAGCAACAGCAGGTCTGCAGTGAACAGCTCTTTGGGCAGAACACAATATGAAAGCAAAGGTAAATTATGGAAGAGGACAGGATGGGAAGCTGTCTTCAAAAGAAAAAAAAAATACTGTGTAAACTGTAACAGCTATGCAGACTGCTGAAAAGATCTTTAGTTGTGTAAAGCTTTAGGGAAGAAACTCTCATCTCCCTTTCCTGCTCACTCATCTCTAGTTCTGAGTGTTGAACTACCTGAAGGAAATGTAGGTGCTTTTATCAATTTCCTTTGCTGGACATTTTGTTATTCAGGAAGGATAATCGGAGTCCTAAGTTGGAATAAATCTGTACTGCTACGTGGAATGCACAAGGGGAGCATGCAAGATCACCCATGAAGCAGAAGCAGCCTAGGCAAGCCATGGTGTGATACCCACAGCAGCCATGGCATGGCTGGGCTCTGAGCACACAGCCCAGCTGAACTCCACCCTTGCAGACAGAATGTTTTAAGCCATGGCTTGGCAACATTTTTCTCTAAGAAATAATTTACAATCATACTTGGATAATAGAAATGATATCAAAATATGATAAAATGATTACAACTAAAAATGATCACAACTGCTTCACAGATATGGTAAAAAAATCCAAACTACTAAATGAAAAAAGAATAAATTGAGTCCTTTCTTGTAATTAAAAAAAAAAAAAAAACCAACCAAAACAGATAAAAAAGTTCAATATTAGCTGCTCATTTACAGCTATGCCTCCTTGTCCTCTGGAAAAGAGGTTAACTTCATACAAAACACTGCTTAGATAACTGATGGCATTACTTACATGTGAGAAAAGCAGAGCCCTGTACACAGAGAAAGCTGGTGGAGAGACCAGGGATATGTTAAGGGATCTATTAATTTTGCTAAATACTACTGAGAAAGAACTCAATTACAAGACAAAAAAGTAGCAAAAATTCTGGGAGATAAGTATCTTTAATCTAGTGTGGAAAACCATAACAAGAATTTTGAATAAGACATCCAGTAAGTATTTCAATAGTGAGCGTGATTAACCATTTTAGCTACTGAATGGAGTTGTATCTCTTGGTTTCTATAAAGTGAGCTTGAAAATCTCACAGTATAATACTTTTTAAAATCTTGCTACTTGTGTTTAGTATCAATTGACTGGATGAACTGCAATGGCCTACCAGAAAAGCTGGAGATGACTTTTTATCCCTATTTGGGACTTCTGTGAATTAATGGGCTCCCCAATTTACTGTCCCTACATTAATATTACAGCTCATCACTCTCTCTTTCTATATCTCAATACTATTAAATTGAGTTTATACAAATAAAAATGTGTCCTCAACTTCAACAGCTTTAAAGCATTAGCACTTCCTCTGGCCTACCAACAGACCTAGTTAAGCTCATTGCAGGACTTGGAATAAAAATAGGAAAGCTGAACATAGACATAGTCTCTCATATGGAGTTTTAGCCTAGTTTTTGATTTTCTTTAAAAGAAACACTAAGCACTTGCTATTTGGAATACATTTAAATATGAAGTATTTTAGGCTCCTAACGAGTATGCCACTGAGGTGGAATCACCCAGAAATATGGGCTGGTAGTTATTATCACGTGGCAGTGACTGATTTATTAGCTGTGCAATGAAGGAGCCAAGGTTTGTGTTAGAGGAATAGATTCCTCATTTTTACTTCCACCATCCATCATAGTAGAATCTACTGGAAAATGGAGTACAAATCATTCAGGAATTTACAACAGTCAGTTGAGCTAGTTCTGTGCTATATCATTGTTGGAAGTGAATGCCTTTGTTTTGCACCCTAAGGGCTGCTCATATGCATAAACAACCCCCCTTTTTCTGTTCTTGAATCACAGTGTCCAGCCAATACAAAAAAGATTATGAGGTATGAAAACCGCACATACCTCCACCACAATAACAAGATCTATACTTTGATTTCCTGGGAAATAAAAATTGTAGCTATACTTCCTGTCAGCCCATTCCTTTGAACGTGTTCTCTTCATAATTTGGATTTTGAATCAAGTTTAAATGGCAGTTAAAAATCGTATGTGGCAGTACACAATGAAATTTAGCTTGACAGCCTGGACATCAAAACTAAAAATAAATGACTTCACATCCAAATAATAAGTAATAACAATGTTAGCCTGCATAAGAATAGCAGGACTGGATTCAAATACAATATTAATTTTAGGGATATGAGTGACTAGGGAGAGACAGAGGCAAAGAAACAAATCCTTCATATAGCAATAGTCTCTTCTTATCCCCCAGGCAACTGGCTGCCTTTCACCTCGGCGGCGGAGCAATTATGTGGCATAATGACTGCAGTGCAAATAAGCAGAGAGATTTTATTAAACCAAATGAGCAAATCATCTGCGTATTATTGCCATTTGATTGACAGTGACAAGTGTCGAGCAGACACGGATGTGAATATGATAAAGAAGCTTGCAGGAAAGCTCTTGATAATGTTACTCTTGATAAAGTTGCTCTGCAAACCTCTCTAAGTAAATAAAGGGGAAAGAATATGATGCATATTAATTCGCATAGTTTGCAACCTGCCACAGGACTAGAGGAAAAGTTGCAATAGGTTCAGCACATGGCATTTCATATGAATTCTAAAATTGCATTTATGAGTCTCATAGACTTTACAATACTATATTAATATTAAAAGTAAAGGTCACTCCACATAACAGTTAAGCTGCCTGAGCTTCAACCTTTATATCAATAACAGACTCGGGCTGGGGGCACGAGGAGGAGGAAAACAAGCGGAATGATCTGAATAAATGTAAAATGTAACTTAGAAAGATTGCTGCCTTTTGCTGGGATGTCCATTTATGCGTCTGTACTTCCAATGGACAATTACATTTCTGACAGGGCTGCTATCAGAATGATTAAATCAATACCTTTCATATGGGAATGTGATTCACTGGCATGGGCCTCCAGGTAGCCTCTGTCACATTAATGACTGCCTTATGACATCATAGCACACACTCCAAAGCTCCCCAGCATGGCAGGCAGCATGCAAGTTTGGATAATTACTTCTGGCACACGGAATGAATTAACCAAGGTGACTGGGAAGCTTTGACAGCAACACCCATGGAAGAAAAGCAGCAGGGATAAAATCTCCTGTGCTGCAACGGCACTAACATCATGAATAAATTTGGGCTTACACGTTGAAATTGCTTTAGTGGATAAACCATGTGATAAATAGATCTCTTTCCTCCACTCCTTCATATTTTTTATTACTTTAAATTTGAATGTGAACAAGCCACAGTGTTATGCCACACTTCAGTGAACATTCTTTTGCCATCAAGTATCATCAAGTTGAAGATTTCCACTCTTTGAAAAAGAATCACAACTGAGAGGAAATGTTCTTGTCACATGAAGTACGCTGTAAAATGTGGAAAGCATTTTTGATTTATGTTGTAATAGTGATTTGAGTATCTATTTGGACATATTTCAAAGAGATCAGCTTTGCAAGGTTCTGCATAGCCTGAGCTGATTCTTGTGCTGTGCTTTAACTGTGCAAGGAAACTTCAGCATTCAAGAGTTGACATGCTCAGAATAACTGTAGCCTGATAAAAAAAGACTTAAAGTGTCTTTAACTTACATTTTCCAGGATGAGAGCCCTCCAACTCTAGTGAGCTTCCAAGGGGAAGAATTGAGGAAAAAAAAATAGTAGAATAAAATATTAAGTACCAAATCCATTTACTCTAGTATTTGTTATAATTTGTTGTATAATCCATATGTTATAATAAAAAATTACTTAAACAATTTATATAATTTATTGCTTAAAAGCATCAGATGACCTTATTTCTACAAAAAGGAACTAAAGTATTCAGTAAAACAAGTTAATCGACTAATCTAGTCCAGTTATTGGAAATTACTTAGTACATTTTTGTTTATATGAAAATTAAAATCAAATTTTCATACAGTTGAGGGATTTTCACTGGTTAGAAGAAAATGTAAAAAAGGATAGACAATACTATCACGCACCAGACAAAAATTGTCAGGGGAAGAATTTTTTATGTTTTAACATTGTTATTTCTGGGCTGGGAGCTGGTTTAATTATTTGAATATAATTTTTGACTTTTTTTTTTCTTTTTGATAAATATGTTTAAGAAATATTACATCCTAGCAATTCCTGAGTGCCTGATATTCTTCAAATTAGTATCCAGTTGTATGCATTCTGGTAGTTAAATATGAAAGTAAATACTCTGGTTCCCACATTTGGATCATCTTCAAAACCTAATCCCTGATATGCAACATTTTTTACCACAAAGCAGATAAACAAGTATCTAAATTAGTTTATCTAAGAAGTCTAAACCATTTAATCCTAAAATTAAACTTTTCATATAGAATCAAGTCTGAGATTTTACAATGAAATTAATTTTTAGAGTCTAGATTTTAAATATGAAGTAAAGTATTTGATATTTAAACTAAATATTAACTATATAAAACAGTTTCAGGATTTAGCCTAAATTATTTATGAGGGTTCTGGTGTAAATTATAATCATATCACTACTGTCACTTCCAAAATAGTGCATGTTATGTTATAAAATGCAAAATTTCTTTTAAGAGACAATTTAGAACCAAACACCATTAGAAACAAAAATATTAATCATGTATTCAAAGTTAACTGACACAGTGATGTCTGCTGAGATGATAGAGAGTGGATTTGAGAACACAGTGTTAATTTTTATCCATTTTATTGGAATGCTGCTAATTGCATGCCAAAAAAATACTTAAAGTAATTATAGAATTTTAAAGTCTGGAAATTTTTTAAAACATCATACTAATCTGTTTTCCTGTTTCCACCACAATGTGGAGAGATATTAAGCTGGAGTACAAAAGAGTTTCTAGATTTTGCTAATCCTTGCAAAAAACCCAAATTAGTATAAAATTGAAGGCTTTTGTATTTTTATTCTGTCATTTCCATCACACTTCAGATAAAGCCCCTTTTGTCCAGAGTGGTGAAACACCTTCCCCTTATAGTGCATGGCTGGATCTGCACATGGCCCTCCTTAACCTTCAGGCATCTTTAGCATTGTCAGCAAAATGCTGGGTGTGCACATCTTCCACTGAAGATTTACGTAGTGCAGCACAACACCCTCATTTTTCTCAAAATTTAGAAAGGGAAAGTTCCCAAAGTTTTTACAGTCAGAAAAATAGGACCAAGAGGATGAGTGAATTCTATGTAAGCCTCCTTACTTCTTTGTAAAAATATCATGATCCACTAAAAAAAAAAAAAAAAAAAGGAAGCTATCTGTGATTATAGTGGAAACTGGAACATTTTTCAGAAGGCAACACAAATCTGTTCACTGTGAGAAAACAATTCAATTTTATTTAAAAAAATCACATGTCTGTATATCCTATGCAAAATGACTATGGATAGGCAAGGGGTAAATGAAGCAAAATCAGACATTCACCTCGTCATGGCTCCTGGGCTGTTTAAAAAGTTGACTGACTTTGCAAGCCTGCTTCTAGGGGTATGCAAATGTCAGGTAGTTCTTTGGGGACACAGGCTTCATCCCCTGCTTTTGTGGGGCCAGAATTGATTCTCAAGTGTAGTAAGATTGACCATCCTGGAAAGAAAGAAAGAAAAAAACCTCATTCAAACAAAGAGAAGACAAAATTCAGACCATTATCTGAGAGACCCAAGTCCTTAAATTGTGCAGCCAGTAGCGTTCACTGACCTGTCTTTGTATCATTACACTCTCATCTATCTTATTATTTTAGCACAAAATTTATCACAAACAAAAATTTTCTGGGACTGGAAAATAATTATTTACAAGGCTGAAATATGAATAGGAAAAACATTTTACCTTTATTTTATAAAAATATTACCTCTTAATTATTTTCAGGGATCCTTTGAGGCAGATAACAAGATGTTATAATAACCACTATCATAATGTTTTCCTAAAGTAATACTTCAAACCTGCATGTGACCTATGCAATGTTTAAATAGCCATGCAAAGCCTAATTAACTTTTTATTAAATGTCAAATATATCTTCAAATGATCCTTTTTTTTCTGAAAAATAAAATTGATTTGCTCAAAAAGTAATTATGAGTAGATACTTACCTTAAGAAAACACGAACATTAGTGTTATTTTTCACACTTACTATTCACACAATTAGGGAAGCATTTATGTACATATTGAAGAGCAGGCATGTGCTAGCTAAGTGCAATTTCAAATTTCTCTTCCAGAAAACCTGGAGGATGTGAGCAATTGTGGGCTAAACCAAAATGTTTCTGGCTATACATTTCTATAACCTAATTCATGGCTCTAGAGGTAAAGAGCCCAGATCCCTGCACATCTCAGTAAAAGTACAGCAAAAGCCAGCCACAACTTACCAATGTATCTGGCTCCAGATTCCTAATATTTTATTTAGGCAAAATCTTTCATTGTTCTGGAGTTCTTACAAAGCTTCTTCAGCAATCCCAAGCAATCAGTGCACTATTACTGGCCTTGGCTATGGCTGGAAATAAAATTGATTGTGCTAGGTTGCATCCAAAATAACCTAGTTTTAATAAAAAAGTCTGAAAGAAAGTGTAGTAAAAGAAGTACTAAATTGGTGTTAGAGAAAACTACATGTTGAACTGGACCTGGCCACTAAATCCTGGCCTGGATTCAGCTTCTCTGGTAATATCAAAGCAGGGCAGCATTTGACAGAGTTCTAGCAGTAGATGGGAGAACTTGGCTACTGTTATGTAGATAAGATAATTAGATACCAAAGTCATTTTTAAATGGCCTTTCTCACCATAGAGGCTGAAGCTGTTCTCACTCACAGTTTGTGGACTGATCTTGGCCACAAGAAGATGGAAATATAAATACATTTCAAGTTATTTATGCATCATACTATCCAAGCTTAGGATCACATGCTATCAATCATAATCTGCATTATTATGACAGTCTGTCACCTTGCTGTATTCATTGTGAGAACTAAGAATTATGTCTATAATAACAAAAAAATTGCCATTGAAAAAATAACATAGAAGCATTCAAACCAAATCTTCCACTGCACTTCAAAAATAAGGAGATATTAGACAGAGGAGGCACTGACACAAATTCCTCTGTGGGGAGGATCACAGTATTTGTTAAAGTAGGCAACAATTTAGAATTAAAATAAAAACACTAAACAAAAACAAATTAAACGACACTTTAGGCAAATAGTGTTCATCTGTTCTGTGAACTGTAGCTCTACCTCAGCTCCAGGGTGTTCAGTAACACCTGGTGATCAGTCATGAGCAGCTGTGGGAGTCCAGGGCTTCCCTCTGGCTGCCCTGGCAGGTCTGGGACCCTGGCAGGGGGTCAGGAACCCCCCTGGACAGAGCCCCCAGAGACACTGTCTGTGATCTCTGTCCATGGAAAAGAGTTTTCAATCTTACAGGATGAATTACAAGCTCTGAGTGTTTGATTTAAGTAATAATTAAGGGTGGCACAGGTGCAAAAGTAAAATTTTAGGATAAGGGGTCCAAAGGGGACAAGCTGGAGGAAATTGGGTGTGTCTTGTCCTTCTTCTTCATGCCCTCCATGTTTCACTGCAGTGTTGGCATTTTTCTGTTGGTTCAGGCTGGGGACACACTGTCCAACGTAGGTGACAGATATTGGCACGTTATTGTAAATCCAGCACAGGTAGTTTGTGGTATTTAATGTTTGTACCATCCCACTGAGGGCAGAGCCCCACACGCTGCCCTGCAGGACAGAGCTGCGGCAGGGCAGCAGAACATGTTAGAGATAAACAGAATAAACAACCTTGAAAACAGCACAGACCAATTATGGCTTCTTCTTTGGCAGCGGGGCAGAAAGACAGAGATTTTATACAATCTCAGAATCATCAATACCACAGATTCTGACAAGTAGCTTCTGTTTTCCATGAAAATCTAGGAAAGAAAAAAAGGGAAGTGCTGGGCCAAGGGTTGCCCGTTAGCTCAGGGGGTAGAGAGATGTCACCTTCTGTGAGTCCCGTTGTTCCGTGCCAGGAGTGGGGCAGGCTGCAGCAGAGCGAGCCCGGGCAGCACAGCCCTGCAGCACGCCCTGGGCACAGCGCCCGCTGCAGCAGAGCTCACGGGCCACTGTAAACCAAACCCCTCTGGAATTCACCCTGCACAGCACAGAACACTCTGTACAACTAAAGCTGTCATAAAACAAACCATCAGATTGTCTCTCAGTGCTTTCATCTGTCCCGTTAAAATAAACACCTTTAAATGTAAGAATCATCATTTAATGAAAACCCCCTCAACCATAACTAAATACATTAGTCACTCTCCTAGAACCTATCATTTATTTTGGTGCATTCTGTGATACCAACACTATTGCACTTCAATAGGCATGAGATTTTTCTATATTATTATTTTTGAAAAGAAAATACAAGGTTATCAAATAGGACTTTTGGTAAAGTAGGAAAGCTAAGAACTCAACTGCACAAAATATAAACAACTGGCTCTTTTTTAATTAAATGGTAAATATTTGGGAAAAAAGGACTAGGGAAACAAAGGGATAAATACATGGCTCAAAGTTTCATTAAAAAGTACGCGGAGTTGTAGAATGGACACTCATTATTGCTGGAGGTATTCTACCTCCAGCAAAAAAAACCCACAAAAACAAAAACAAAAAAGCAACAAAATAAAACAAAACAAAACAAACACAAACAAACAAACAAAAAACCCCACAAAAAAACCCCAAACAAAACAAAAGAAAACCCTCCAAAATATAAATTAAACCCAAAAAATCCACAGTGGGAGATATTGTGAGATAGCAGAAATCAAACTGATTGTGTGTGAATCTCAGCATTGTCCCTGTATCCCTTTGGGACACAGGTAAGATCTGTGCTCCATCTCTCAGGCACAGTCAGACTCCCTGCTCTGCCCAATAAACCCCTTCACAAACTGCCCAGCTTGTGGGATGATAACTTAGACAAGTAAATCCCGTTTAAATAATTCCATGTCAACATATTAAACTTGTGTTCTGTACCAAACCCCCCTAACTATTACCAGTAATATCTCAAAAGCACTGAAGTAGGTGGTTTGGAATAACAATAAAAGGGTGTTGGATTTTTTTTCTTCCTTTAATTCAAAGCCTCAGAAGGAGGAAAACATGCCTCCAAACCAATGAACATGCAAGTCTACTAAGCCCAGCATATGCTCAGCCAGTGGATGCATTTCTGTTGCTCATGGTGGCACCAGAAGTTACATGTTGTATTTTTCATCCTCTGCAGTGGTAATTTCTTGGTCATTTACCTCCTCAATAATAATGTTTAGCTGAGTAAAATAATGCTTTAGGCTTTAAGTCTTAAAGGCTCTTCCCCCTTTGCCCCCCTCAGTAGGATGACTGATTTCAGCCCTTTAGAAAAATAAGCTTACTTATGAGACATTAGTGGCATTATTGCCTCCTTTAATATTCGTGACAGTCTCCAGCAAATGTATCACAAGTTGGCATTTATTAGTGCTAGGCACAAGTAAGGGGCATGTTATTTGATTTGAATAACAGCTTGGAGCTACAGTTTGAGTCCAGAAATATATTAGTCAGAAACAATCTCATTTAATAACACAGAAACTAATAAAAGAAAAGTATTCCAACTGATTCAAAATTGAATTTATGAATATTGCTTAGCAGGATTAATGATCAAAAACTGAACCTGTTTGTCATGTTATAACAGAGTTTTCGATTTAAATGCAAAACTAGGAGTCAATGAGTCCAATGGATTGTATATTGCTTTGAAGAAAACCAGTTCATTTTACACATAAGCTTTGAAATTGGCAATAAACTTTAATTACAGGGTCAGATAATCAAATTATAATCAAATAGCCTCACATAAAATCTGTGTTTGAAATTAATGAGATACAATTCTACTAGTCTGTAATATTGTACCTCTGAAACTTACTAAAAGACATTTCATTTTCATTTAAAAGTCACCTTAAGGACTTCTCCCTCAATTTCTTCTGCATAGCTCAATTTTATTTGGAAATGTCTCATTTTCAGACCACACATTTCTAAAGATTTTTGCATATGGAAACATCATTTGTTGCTCCACAGATTTTTTTTATTGATAGTAAGAATTTTAATATAGCAATATTAGAAATCTCTCAAGCAGATGCATATTTATGCATTTTTAGAGAAAGCTGCAGTTTGGATAATAAAGCTGTATAGTTGTTCAAATGCACATAATTATTAAAATTTTCATTTAAGATGAAATTTTTGATGACTGATCTTAACTTGCAAGTGCAAACATATATGCTAATGTACACTACTGCATAATCTATTTCTTTCTGTGTATACAACCACGATAATTTCTCCCTGCATGTCTTACCTTATTTGGAAGAAGAAATATATTTTATATTTAAAACAAAAGATAGGAAGAATAAATCCAAACCTGCTGTGGCTTTCTTAAAGGTTTGCTGCTGTGTGGCTTGAGGCAAGTCATATTATATTTTATAGCTACAATTTCTCATGAAAAATGGCAGTTACAGCTTCAGTGCAACTTCACTGGGCTTATCATAGGATCTTATTAATTGTATGGTGATTATCAAAATGAAGATGCAAAATTGTTGGATAGATAATGTCAAACCTCATTAAACATGCAATGGTAAAAGTACAGAAAAAGTCAAATACTTCTAAAGCAATAATTCTACTCGATGGCAATACAAGTGATTGATAACACACAATGTAATTAAAAAAGAATCTATGCCTTGTACTGAAGTACAATTTTAAAATTTTACTATTAAACAAAACATTTTTACTTAAAAAAAATCAAGTTATTCTAAATTTAAAAATAACAATTGCCAAAAATAACTATTTAATACAACTTGTCATCTGCTTAGATGGACTACAACGATGAAAACAAGATCCTTGCTCAACAAAATCACCACTTAATAAGCTTGGGCAGGGACTAATATAGAGCAGTTAGCACATCTCACTTAGGCCCCAGTGGGGCACTGTAATGTGGGTACCTCCATTTGCCAAGAACTAAGACCATTCACCCACTTTCTTAGTGTACAGCAGCATCTCTTCCTGTGTTCATGCCCTAAAATTCAATACTTTTTTTGGGAGCACACAAATGAATCTCTAGAAAGTTAAGGAAACATTACAACTGCTTCTGTTGATTTCTCCCATGTAAAAAGTAACAAAGTCAGCTCTTTTGAATCACAACAGAGATTTTAAAGAAATTGTCACAGTTGCTCAAAATTGTTAATATCACTGATTATTACAGGTGATACTGTGGATATTAACTACTGAGACAAGGTAGGAGCTTCAGTCATTCATTGTTCAGTCTTGTCTGTCCCAGAGTATGCTTGAGAACATGCATCAGATTTGGGAGAGTTTTAAAATCCCTGAACTTCCTAACACCATGTGTGAAGTTATTTACAACTTCACCCATCTCACCATTACCAAGTTTCTTGTCTTTCATGAGTGTGGTCTTCTTTCTGTCACTCAGTATTATTAAAGGCAGAATTTACTTCTGGTTTCTAATAAGCATGGTTAAAATGTACACATTTTACATGGTATCTCCATCTGCCACAGACACAAATGGCTTTTGGCTACAGCCATTGTAAACCTTTGTCTCCTTTATTTTCTGTATATGCATTTAACCACAAAAGATCAATTACAGTCAAACTTCTGTCTATAAGACACTTGACTGGAAATGAGGGAGAAGAATATAAGAATACTAAAATTATGCTTCCACTGTGGCATCAATATGAATTCAAAGTAATACTATCAAGCTCAAACATGCAACTACTTTAATTCTGGTTGACATCTCCATATCATAATTTTTTTTTTTTAAACTGGATTTTTTAAAGCTTTGTGTGTTTCCCCATCTCTCTCAGTTTCTGAGAGTTTTATTTCCTTGCAGAGGACAAAAGCCAATAACAGAAAATAACAGCTTATCTAGTAAACATCTAAGCTGCAAACAACTCGAATTGAACTTGACAGGTTAGCACTTCAAAACAACAGGTCATGAGCAGAAATGAAACAAGAGACAAAGTCAAGGACTGGCCCTGCTCACGAGACTTTTATGAATCCATTTGCACAGCAGCAGTTCCCTGGATGCTTTGCAGAAAGGAGAGAAAGTCCAGTCAAACACTTTACGTGTCAAAGCCTGAAACATGTTCAGATGGATGGTTTGCACTCTGACAGTGACAAGGTTTTGAATTGTCACACAGGCTCTTTTGAATCATGCTGTCTAAATTGGGAATTCTGATTAGAATCAGCAAGATAACTGAAGTAAAAAAAGTTTTCCTACTTTTTCCAACTCCAGCCTCTCAATTTTCAGCATGCAGTAAAATTAACTGATTTAGCATTAACATTATAGTTACCACAAGCTAAATATTAACAACAGTTTATGGGATATAGAATTTGCTAAGAAATAAAGCTGGAGGAGAAAGGATTTGTGAAGATTTCACCTGTATCATGGTGATCAGGTGAAACTACAGCTCTGTGCAGGGACTGTCACACACTGTAAGAACAACCTGGAGGTTACAGGCAACTCTCTGTTTGCCAGTTGAAGAACACCAACTTGTTAATTCTGTGCAACATTTCTTTAGCTTCAAAGTCGTGAGGGTTTTGTCACATCTTCTGACTTTTACAGGAAAACACATGTTTTGGATAGGAATTCCAATTCTTTCTTTATGAACACTATTCCAAGTTGTCACTATTCGACATACTATTGCCCGCCCCCCTTTTTTTAACCTCAGTTTTGAAAAAACATACAAGTAAAAAAACCCCACCAAAACCATTCCAATAACCAAAACTTTACAAACCTGCATTTGTTTCCATCTGAAAAGAACCAGATGCTGAAATCAGGTGTTTTTTCCCTTTAATCCTGTATTTTTAAAGAATGTTCCACAGTTTTGAACAGATGGAAATTGTTTCTTTGCTTCTTGCTTCAAAGTCTTTCTTAGTCAGCACATCATACAACCATTGTATTGAGGAAATTTTACTGAAATCCTTGTTACCACATCATCTATTCCTTATGAACAACTCCTAATAAAGCCTTGGGACTCAAGATATCCCATCCATTACTTCTTATATGTGTGTATCAGCATTTTAATGGACTCCTCAAAGGAGTTCTGCTTTTCTTTCTCCTAGGATTGTCAAGTCATGCTTGGAAGCATTACACAGCTAAGAGTCCTTATCTGCTGCAGTGCTTTAATTCTTGCAGAAATAAACATGATTTTTATCTTCAGGTTTAATACATAAACCAAATTATTTTATTTCCTTTTTAGGAACTTCACCCACAAGAATACTGTTTTTTCTGGTTACTACCAAAGACTGCATGAAACCCCTTGAGGGAATTTGCAAAGGCTACGTCTAAGTTCTCCAGATTTCCTCTCTCTAGCAAATGATTCCATTGAAAAGGTGGTCCTTTAGGGTTTGGCTAAATTCCTGATCTGAGTAATTTTGCAAACAACCATTTACTAAAACAATATGTCTTTCACCTCAGCCAAGTGCAACCAGCTTCACCTTGCTTCTTATGGGCTATTTGGCAAAAATGTTGAGTTGCAAGGCTGTGAGAGCCTCTCCCAGGTCCCAGCATAATGCGCAAAATGCCAAAGTTCCTGCAGTTCAACAGCTTAAAAATCACGTTCTCTCTTTATCTCCCCCAGACTGAGTACAGTCTGATGTTACAGGTACCCATCACTGGGGAGGCCCAACCAGCATCATTAAAGGGAGCCCACCCAGAGGGCCACACCCTGCCCACATTCTGCGTGTCCTGGGATCTGGCATTCCAGCCCTGCTCATCTGCACAGCAGTGCCCTGTCCTGGCCATCAGCAACTGCTTTTCATCTGCTCTAGGAAACTTCAGATCTCACATTAAGCTTTTATTATTATAGCTCAAAAAGATACTTTTCCAAGCAAACAGTTTAACAACTGCTTCTTCATAGGCAGTGCAAATTTCAACATCCTACTTCCAGTTTCAGAAACTCCTGATAAAAATAGAAAAGGCTTTTTTTTTTTTTTTTTTTTTTTTGTACCAAGTTTACTCATTGCTGTCTATGGAAATACTGCAGCTAGCAATCCAAATCCTACATGGATGCAGAAGCATTGCCTGATTGTGCTCCAGTTTGTGGCAAAGTGTGGTAGATTTGCAACTGCTTGGCAAGTTTCCCTGAGAATACCTGAATCCACAGAACCATTGAATGAGAGGCACGGTCTACCCTGATCATAAATTTCCAATAAAGAAACTATTCCTTAGCCATAGTCACAAGTTAGTTTGGCAATGATTTTGCTTTGGAAAACTCCTACCCCCATGTGTCCTCCCCTTGACCTCCCACCCTGGTAATAAGTGAGCAATATCTCAACCCCTTTGTGTTCCTGTGTCAACACTACCCCAAACTGTAAGTGTTAGCAGCTGTGCACAATATGAAAAGGGGCTTGAAACACACAGCCTAAAACAGGAGCAGTCACAAGAGCCTCTTTGACTCTCAGAATGCTAAATCACACACTGCTGATCACTGGAATGGTTTCCTTTCTGTACCCAGCTTATGTAGTGGTTTTGCTGTTCTGGCCAACCTACAAATGAACTTTTTGTAATAGGAGGCCTAAAAACTCTGAGCATCCAAAGAGTTGGCAAGTTTTGACCAGCCTCAGCTTTTCTTTCTTTGTGAAAGTTTCTCTTCACTGATTGTATGCTCAAAACAATTTATCTGTTTTAAAATCTATTCACATTTCTTCACATTGAATTTTAAATTCATATTGTAAGGTTACTCTGTTAAATAAATGCATTGGTTGCTGGTCACCAAAATTTTCCATGCTTCAAAATATGTCTTAGGTAGGCTGGGGAAAAAAAAAAAAAAAAAAAAGAGTACAACAATGTTCTATATGCCTGTAACGTGTGGTGACACTTATAACGATGCAATAACAAAAAACCATCACTTTAAATGACCAGAGACCAGTCCTTCTCTGTAAGCAGGCTCTTTCTTGTCTTCCACTTTTTCTTCTATTTGTTGTTATTTTGCTTAAAAATATACTCCAGATGAGCAGGAGAAAGCTGCCACAGTCTTAAGGGTATTATTTGCTTATTAGTTAAAAAACAGCAACAAAAAAACCCAACAGAAAGCCCCTTCAGAATTATTTTACTGAACTCCCTGTACATCCAGTACTGTAAGATTTTTCTTCAGTTGAACTGTGGTGCTTTTTATGCCTCACTGAGTTGCAAAGATGTTTCCCTTCCCTCCCCTCTACTGGAAAATTCTGAGATAACTGAGAAACAACTACTTCTCCCATATCTTCAAACTGCCACTAGCTTGGTCCTGTTGGTTTGAAACACTAGTCCTAATTTTTAACAGAGTAATATCTTTAATAATTTTTTGTTCCTCATTTAAGGGGGAAGCACTGCAATGAAACTTGTCCAGAGAAATACTTTTGTCCCAACATCCATCACTCTTTTCTTTACAACACTTACCTGTTGCAGTACCTGCTAGAGCTGCTTGTTATCATTTTGCAGTTGTTTCTTTCCTTTGCATTTCCTACTTCTCACAAGCAGTCAGGAAACAGGCACACTCCCATTCAGGCTCCATATCCCCAAGAAAAGGAGCAGACAGTAGTTCTGGCACTCGGGTTCCCAGAGGGGTCCATCACCTGCTCCCACGATCACTGGGCATTCTCTCGCTGGGCACGACCCTCGTGCACCTCAGTGCCCCTGGGGTGCTGGCAGTCAGGACTGAAATTTGCCCTCAGTAGGCAGCTATTGCTGTCCATGAGACTTAGCAACTGCTTGAAGAACTGCTGCAAAGGGATGTTGAGAAAAATTTGCTTTGTGTAAGCTTTATTTTAGAAGAAAACTGAGAACTGTATTTTTTTTTGTGTTCTATTTTTTAAAAAGTTATTAACCAATGAAAAAAACCCTAAATTATCTTTTGTTTATCTATCATTTCAATTACTTAGTCTTCCTTTTCTAATTAGAAAGTGAAGTGTTAATTTTCCTTACTACACAGTCTCATTTTTTAACAACTCTCCTTTTAGATTTTTAAACATGCTTGATCATGCTCAAGCAAATGCCTTTCTTAGGTACTATTATGAAGTGGTAGCTAAACTGTCATTAGTACAGATTAATATTATATCAAAAATGCAGGTGTGATCTTTGTACCTCGAAGCCTTGTCCCACCCACTTGATTTATCTCTTTCCTTATGTGTGAGACTTCCAGTAAATTATATAAATGCTTTGTATTGTCCCATATTTAGCCCTTTATATTGCTATTTTTGATATTTAAATAATTTCCCTGATAAACTTCCTCCTTCCATTTGTTACATAAGTGAAGAATAAGATTTGGGTATTTTTGTTTGCTTGTTTTCATTTACATATGATAATTGTTCAGTAGATTAACATTGAGACATAGTAACAAAATAAACAGGCTTGGACTTACATATTTCTCAGCCTCCACCTTCCTCACAAGTGGCTGTCTTCAATTCTTCTTGATTGTTTCTAAGAAATGGAAAACCTAATTCAAACTCCAATTCATATATTGACAGCAAAAAGTGTCAAATATGAGAGAACTATTTCAGTTATTTAGTTATAGTGCCATAACTGTTTTTAAATGCTATTGGAAATCGAGGCTGAGGATTACATCCAATCTATTTTAACTCAAGGTCAATAGTGGCTTAAAATCAAAAGGATACAAGAAGTCCCTTAAATACACTTAGACTGTCAGTACTGGAATGGTGCTCATCATCTGAGGCATGATGTTCTTAAAGAGCCTCTCAAACTGAAATGGTGAGAAGGCAAAAATCCTAACTATTTAAAAAACGGAATGCATCAGTGGGATTATATGATAACATTCTCTGTGCCTGTTAACCTTCTGATAATAAAATTACTTGAAATTTAAGCCAACCCTAGCAGAATACTGGCATATATAGTCAATGTAACCTTGCCTGCTGCTTTACTGGAAATAATTGGAGATCAGATACTTTAACTGTGGCTGCAAAGAAGCCTGAAGTATGCTTACCCAAATAAAAGGAGACTTTATGATGGTAAACATGGTGAGATTGCTACCATCCATGATAAGATTTGCTTCCTCATGACTGTAGATGGAGCCCTAACATAAGTAAATACTCTTTTGGCACTATAAGTTTGGAATTTCATAGACTATATTGAGGCTTTTCAGCATTTTTATGTATTGAGATTTTAATTTTCAGAACAAACAATATGAGAGGCCCACTGTTTTTATGGTTTCACAATATGCCAAACTGATTCAGTTCTCCTCAAAAATCCAGGAAGAAAGAAAAGCAATTGCTCAACTTTTATTCTGTCCTGCAATTATCACCTAATCTAACCTTCTCTAACAATTTCTCTGCTTAAGGGCACCTCTAGGGTTGTCAGACCAGCTGAATTCATTTAGAAAATGAAATCCAAACCTGGCTAGTCTTATTCATCCCCTGCACCCATTATTCCTTTCATAATTTTATGCCACTGTACTAAAAGGCAAGACAACAGCACATTTTTTGGATTTGTTTTTTGTATTACATATAAAACATACTGCTGAAATATGACTGTAAGTTTCTTGGTGAAGAAGGAGGGGTCTCAGCACCATCTGACTAAAAGATGTTAGATAAAAGAGGAGCTATTTATAGGAGTAAAATATGTCTACAGTTTCTACTGCGGCTAACAATACAGGGTTCACCAGTATAATTAATCCTTTCCTTCCCATAACTCACTTGTTCAAAAAACAAAGTATTTTGTGATTCCTTGCAGCTAAACAAACAAAAACTTCCACAAAACAAATAAGCAGAAATATCAAAACAATGTATTCTTTCATCATTCTCAAGGTACTTTGTCTGTTTCACACTGTAAAAAACACTTGGTATCACAAATGTTCTGGAAGTTAAATAGATATGCAAGGATTGTTGGAATTGGATTGGTATTTGTCATCTAGGACTGAAAATGGAGAGCTGTTACAACTACAAGCAGTTTTAGAATACTGCTACTTCTTTATTATTATTTTATTTTCAAAAGCTAGTGAAAACCCTCCGTTTTATATCACGGTTGGCAAATCTCACTGGTTCTAAAAGCTGCACCTCAAACATTTCTCATGGCCGAAGGTCACTCTGGAGGGTCAGAGAGAGAAAAAGGAAGGAGCAGCACAGAAAGGAGATGTGGGGAGCCTGTGCTGCACTGGGGGCTGGGGCTGGGGCACAGCTGAGGTGTCTGGGAACCCACTGCCCTCCCTGCTGACATGGCACAGCGCCTGCCAGCCCCAACCACCGACACAGGTGATTGAAATGACAACCACGGATTGCAAATACTTCATATCCCTTAAGTGATGTGGAATGAAGAGGTACAGGAGTTTATTCTGACATTGAGGTTAGCTTCTGGTAAGCATGCGTGAAACTCACAATTTTACATGCAGAATGGTCAAAACACCATTTTTTTTAGTACATGGTCATGAAAGTAAATTTCTAATTGTGCAGTAAAGTTGGACAATTTTCAGCTCATGTTACAGTACATAATGATGAAACCAGTATCTCAATTTGAACCAGGCAGTACTTCCAGGTTCAATACACAGACACTCAATATAGACACAAAAGTTGAATACAAACTAGAATTCAAACTAGTGCTTAGTTAGGTCAATTACACTTGCTATGCATTTCATACAAATTGTATATTTAATGTCAGTAATTGCCATGAAGATGATTTTCAGACTGAAAATTATTTCCTGATTCAATTAACATGTTATGTTAATATTAAAAGCTCTTGGGAATATCTAGGTTTATTGCATGCAAATGGATTCTCAGACAATAAATATGATATATCTGATTAATTATAAATAGTTTCTTTCAGTTGGACTTGGGTAAACAAAGGTACTTAAGTACTTAAATATACTTTACAAATTTGCAGCTTAATTTTGTTAATTTGCCTTATTTTGGATCCAAATACTTTGTAGTCATTTATAAAAGACAAAATTGTCTATAGGGATTTCTTTTTTTTTTTTCTTTTTGAACCAAGGAGATAAATGTTATTTTCTCATTACTCAGAAAATTTGCCTAAATGACCGATAATAACACTCCTCAGCTTCTTTAATTTCCATATTCAATCGTAAGACAGAAGTATCTAGTAATTTTTACATATAGTTCTTTTTTTTTAACCCAAGAAAAAGCAGCCTGTACAGAGGAATGATATTAGTCTATCCAGATGCTGAACTCCGCTCCAAGCTATACTGTATGAAATATCAAAGATGTCCGTGTGTTCTATTTAAGTACAATTTTTTCAGATTCTACTTGATTAAAATAAAATTAAGTTGCTTTTAAAAGATAACCTGTCCAAAAGATGCCCAGTAAATTCCTGTGTGAGCTATTTATTGTTTTAATCTGCAATCAGTTATGCAATACTAATAGAAGTACATACTGTTTAACATCAAGAGATCTATTTAACTCTCACTCTTTATAAAGATAAATACAGAAATGAGCAGAGAGAAAGTGAAGAAAATAGGTTAGATCTGTCCTATGGTGACAGAATCAATATATTTAAACCAGCACAACACAGTTCAGAGAACTCCCCTTAGAGCTCCAGTGTTTCTGAGCAGTTATTTGAGCTTCTGATTCATTACATAGATCACATATGGGAAGTAAGGAAACTGGATTTACCTGCAGCATCTTTGGGTACCTAACTAAATCATTTATCTGCAGCTTTTAAACCCTGCGGCAAATACAGTACATAATTAGGTGCAACAAGACAATCTCCTATTTCAAGAAATTCATTAGCTAAGTAAAAGAATCCTCTAACTAAAACAGTTAGAGCAATTCATTTTATTAAGATCAACATGCTATTTATTTATTTCATAACTCTGCTAAGGCCTTTTTAAATATATGACTGTATAATTCTTTTTCTGGTATTCTGGCTTACATCAGATAACCACTTTTGGATGTTATGCAAGACAGATGGAAAAATCCATCACTGATTTACTGCACATTTCCACACACAGTCAAACTAATATCTGATCACTCTGGAAGACATAAAACCCTGCTTGGCAGTGAATGTTTCAGCAAATCTCCAAACACATGGGTGTGCACAGTCTTGTGGAAGATAGCTGCTGATAGTCAAAATGCAAACCAATACACTGCAGTATGTACTGGGAAAGATAAAAAATAAATAATTGGGATTTATTTTCACTTCAGAAACTACTGCAACAGAAGCAATTGCAATAAAATAAAGGTATTGTAATAGATACCTCCAATACTATATATAATGGATTCTGAGTTTTATAATTATCCATATGAAACACCTCAAGAACCTTTTCTTTTTTTCTAACAGCTCTAGAAGACAGCAGTTCTGAATGTTAGTCATGAAGATGAATCTTCAGGTACCAATTAAATCTTTTAATTCTATTAATTCTTTTGGGTGACTTTGTGCAGATACCTCCAAGAATAAAAGGTGAATAGCTTAGCATTGTTTTCAGCTTCTTGTCCTAAACTCATTTTTTAATATATTTCAGTTAGGTCCACAAAACTAGTTTTAGTGCTGCCACAGCAGGTGGAATGACCTTTACCCTGTTCCTATTTTACAATGTGTTTTGTGAGATTCTTGACACTTTACTTCAGACCCTATTAGAAGGAATATACTGCAGAAGTTATTATCTTCGGAAAGTAAGATTTAATTATTTTCACATTTAATTACAGACAAACCTAATAATTTCCAGTTATTCAGAAATCCATCCTCTCTTTAAGGACATAAGCATTTTTGTTTATTGGGGAAAAAGTAAACAAGAAAATAAAACACAGGCTGCTAATCCTAATTTGGAAGTGTTTAACTGCAGGGCATAGTTCACAGATGGTTTTGCAACCTCAACAGTTTTGTGGGCAATATGGTTAATTTTGATTATATGAAAATGTCAAGACAAATTATCAGGGGGAAAAAACTCAAAAAGTTTTCTGAGGTTAAATGGCAATAAGGAGACACCTTTCTTCAAGAAGCAGAATCAAATAGAAACCATTTTGATGAACACAGTCCCCTTGAACAAAGGAGGAGCCCACTGGAACAGAGCATTTGAAAAGCAAAATCATGCCTTTTGATAGATGCTTTCTGTCGTGAACATAGTAGTTAATCCATTTTTTTAGCAAGATTAGCTGTCAGATTAACACATTACTGAGGGAGTCAGAGTTAGTCTAAACCAAGGATGTGCCTGAAGAATGATGTGCACCCACATGAAGGAGGGTTTCCAGAGGCTGACTTACAGCACCACGGTGGAATGCAAACTCTGCCTTTTTTTCTCTCTTTTTTTTTTTTCTTTTTTTTTTTTTGCTAATGCTGACCAGAGCTCTACAAACAGCCATTCTCAATTGCTGCATCATATTTAGTTGATACAAGCCTTGATGTGGATTTTAACATCCATATGCAGGCCTTGCATCTGCCACACACACCCATGCCTTAACTCCAGGGACTCTATTGTCATGGACAATATATATTCGTATGTTAAAGAATTTACTTCATCA